AGCCAACGATACAGAGACCAGTACGAAGATACGTCCCGTAAAATTAAGAGACTTTATTGAATTGTAATTTTGTGATTGTAATTCTGTACCGTTAATTAAGTTATTCTTAACTGTTATTGGTTTATTGTATGTGGTTATTGTTCGGGACGAACAGTACTAAGGAGGGGGCAGTGTTACGTCAGCGAGGTCACGTGACTAGTGTCACGCCACTCGTTCTCTCGAACCTTCGTGAATGCCCTAGCATTTACTAGATATATGTTAGTCTGGTATTTATATATAAGATGCTCACAACGTGACGGTACAATGTGTGTGTGTGTAGGTAGTGAGTAATTGAACTGCAGTCAGAAAGTATTGTTGAAGTTAACGTTCGTTGTTATAGCGACTGTTGAAATTAAATGTATCCTAAAGTTGTATTTGGAAAGAATAAACCAGTTTTATTTAAGAAAGGACTTGTGTCGCTAAAGTTTTGTCAGAACGAAGTTACGGAAAATTAATTAACGACTGGAGGCGAAACAGTATTGTATATACCAAATAAAAAAAACTTAATAAGTATTTAGCACTAATATTAACATTTAAAAGTTTCAGCAAACACAAGTTTTTGGAGCATGAAGATTAATTTCAATAACAAAATCAGGGGTCTAAGAACTTTAACTACAATTATGAGTAGGTAGTTTAGTTATAGTGCTAATACAGACAAATTTAATATATAAGAGACTAATTTTTTGAGAGATGTGAAGAATTTTTTCATTTAATATGTCTAAGAATCTGCTAAAGATAGTATCTTTAGAACTTGTTTTAATACTCTGGATAATATGGTGAAAAGTGCCATACATCATATAACACTGCTGGTTTGCCAGTTCTACTGTATGATGAGTAAAGTTCATTCAAGTAAAAGATAAATAATATTGTATTATTAATCTTTACCAAACTTTTGATTTCTAAATGACTTAAAATTTATATAATTACACTTTCACTAACTTATCTAGTTCACACCACTACAGTTATTGTCATGCAATTTGATAATATAAATAAACACTACTGTATCTGCTGTATTCCAGCTGTCCTGATGAGCCTTGGTACTGGACAAAGATCTTGTCTGTACTGGATATAGCAGACAATATGATTGACATATTATACTTTTTCTTTTACTTATAAGTTTTAATTTTGGTGTTTCTATGTCTCCTATTTTGAGAAATTAAGCTTTCAAAAATTGCAGAAATTTATGAGTAGAAATACTGGGTTATGAAAATTAAATGAAAGAAAAATATAAATGAGAATGAAATTCTTACAAATCTATCGAAACTGATGAAAAGTTTTATTCCTTAAAAGTTCTTGCACTCAAACCAAAAGCTAATTCCAAAATGATTAAAATGGAAGAATTATAGTAAATTAAAAATGGATAAGCAAACAGGAATGTAAGTTGGTAAATGTTGAACTCAACTTTATTGTGTTAAACTCCAAGAAAGATTCTGTTAAGGCTGAAGACTATGAAAGTCATTTTCATGGAGCTCAAAACATCAAATCTACTTGAGTTTTTTTTTCTTACATGAAATACAAAGAGGTTCAGAATTTTGGGCCTTTAACAGATTCTAATGGGCACATTATTTTTGGAGGAAAGAAACATGGTAGAAATGTTAAAGCTTTTTTTTCATGTGTTTTTTTTAATTTAACCATTAAATTTCCTCAAAATTGGAAATAAGTGTTTGAAGAGAAACCTGTGTCAGAAAAAGTTTGAAACCTTTTTATTTCTCAGATAGAAAATCTTTAAACTTTAAGGAAGCTAAATAATAGGATGAAAATTTTAACTATTATTTTCACAAATAACTAGATGGCTTCCAGTTGACTGGAAAATTATTAATATTATCTCTATTATAAGAAAAAAAGATGTCTAAAGAAAATTAACAATATTTCTGGGCTGGTAACCTGTTATTAGCAAGGTGGTAATTCATTGTCAGTGATTATTCATAAAAGTATTTTGAAAATTAGAATTCAATAAACTTAACCTGATGCACCATGGAAGTGGAAATTCAGAAATGACATACTTTTCTGTGTGAGTAAAATACTGTCTACTTTAAAGAAAAAATATTTTTGGTACAATTACAATTTGGTAAAATATTTTGAGCAATTTGGATCTCTTATTACAGTAAGAAATAAGCTACAAAAATTATTTTTGGTTCAAGTAATTTGAACTCTAAAAAAGGTGACTAAAAATTAAAACTTGTAACTTCAAATGTAAAAGAACTAGATTTGACATAAGATATTTAAAATTATCTGTAGGGGCTTGGAGACTTTCCATAAAAGCCTTGTTTAGATGGTAAAAAGATAGCTATGGAAATGGTAACAATTAGTACGGGTATTTTTATAATTATGTAAAAATATTTTAATACAGTAGCACACTGAGAATAAAATATTTAAGTTTAAAATTTAATCATTTTTCAGAACAGAAATGTTACTGGGCCTTTCATACATTACTAATAAATAAAGTTTATTCTTACCCACAATATTTTAATACAGTAGCACACTGAGAATAAAATATTTAAGTTTAAAATTTAATCATTTTTCAGAACAGAAATGTTACTGGGCCTTTCATACATTACTAATAAATCAAGTTTATTCTTACCCACAATAAAAAGGCAACATCTTTATCTATCTTAAACACTATTTTTAAGGTTTACCTAAAATAATGTGGTTAAACTTTGAATTGCATTGTGTTAAATAACATTAGCAGATATGTTCCTTGCTCACAATAAGATTTATGCCTCAAACTTTATTATTATAATGAAATCAGGTTTGCTGATTAGATTGGTGTAGTTAGTTTCAATTCTTTTACATTTTTCTGGAATAAGTATTCTGCAAGTACATTTTCTTGAAGGGCTTAATTTAATTATTTGTTGATGTTGTAGTGGGTGAGGAATGTACTCAACAGGAAATATGTCTTTCAATCACCTGTACTTTAAGTTTCTACATCACAAAGATAAAAATGTCACAGATAAGTACAGGGAGAATTAAATATTTTACATGCACTCCACCTCATCCTGTCCAGAATGCTTTTGTGGTGCATGCATGCATGCTATCTCAAGATGACAATCATTTTTGCATCATTTTACCATTTAAAATAGATATATATAACAGAAGAAACACTACCTCAAGAATATATTACTATTTAACTAGTTGTATTACACTTTCTACATGAAAGTAAATAGTTTGTACCTTTGATGCAATCAATTGCATCAAATACTTATATCCTGGCAGTTAAAATGAGAGTACATGAATAGATAAAAACAAAATCATGAAGATAAGCCACTTGAAAGATTTTTAACAATTAGCACTCAAATCTTTGATAAGTTAACAAAATAGTATTGTTCATTTGAAGTGGCAAAAACCTATTCTATTTCTTAGTTTGTGTGTATATAAAAAAAGGCTTAAATGAATTTCTATAAATGTATAAATCTTCCTTGCCAATTAGTGTTGTCTTTCCTCAAATGAACAAATCCTCACATCAATCAATGCCACCATTTCTATTTTAAATCTGGATACTTCTTAAAATATTACAGAAAGCCTTCAAAATACTTTTGTTTAGGTATCCAGGGGTTTTCTTTCACATTTTCTTTAAGGGAAAATATTTTATTTGGTGAATGTTTAGCACAGGCATTCAAAAGCAAAAGGAAATGTAATTCTACAAACATTATATGATTGTGTACCCCAAGTTTTGTTTTTTTTACAAGTATATCTAAAATGGTGCAGTTTTACTTAGATTTTTCACACCAGAAGTTATCTAGAAATAAAGCCCTCAAACTTGAAAAACACCTAGGATGGGGAGGAAGTCTCCCACTGTCCCATGGAAAGAAACCCTATGTATCAAAACAATTAACTACACTTTCATTTTTCTACATCCAATATAGATGTACTATACATAAAATTTAAGAATATACTACATGAACATTAACTAAACAATTTAATTACTCATATGTTACAATTTGGCTAATCTTAATCACACCTTGTGTTATTCTTTTAAAAGTAGAATTATTTGTGTATTTAAAACACTGATTAGATACCAATATCATAAAGTATACTTAATAACTGAACTGCATCACTAATGCCTGTAAAAATTAAATGAATTATCACATACATTTTCAAACATTTTTTACTACAAGGGTTACAAACATTACTTGCTAAAAAGCACCCTTATATAAATTTACATGCAATTTACTTCCTCTTATAGTTTTAGTAAGAATTCAGGCTTATGTTCACAAAAGCAGAATATTTAGTGATCTAGCAAAAACCTTAAAACAAATTAATTAACTATAGAAAAACATAACAAAAAAACTACTAAGATAGTAATTTGTCTGCAATTTCAAAGTGCATTATGGTTAAACATGGAACCACATACTTATATAGATTTGCTACTGTAAAATGAGAGGATTCCAGACATCTTCAATATTTTCATATTTATCCCCATACTTCAACAGATTCCATATTAATATTATTCAAATATTGACATGAAAAGTTTAACAAAAATTGTTCTTGGTACTAACCTGCAGTTCGCACCAGGCGACAGCAACTCCTGTGGCAGTATCCAATCCTTTATACACAGTTTTGAAAGATCCACGTCCAATCTCCTCCTCAAACTTAAGAAATCGTCCATCAGGGGATGTATCTCTAGCCTTCACTGCTTCATCTTCTTCTGTAGGTAACTCTAAGTTTTCATCACATCTAACAGCATTGAGTTCGTTTTGGCCAACTTTTTTTTCAAGAACCACTTCTTTAGAATTAATACTTTCTGAACCTGGATTTTGCTGGAGGGTTGGACTTGCAGCAAGTTTATTGTCTCTTTCATACTTGCTATAACCACCCTCTACTACCTTAACATCATTCTGATGTTCTGTCCTATCTTTACAATTTGATTTTTCAAAATCAGATAATATTGTATTTTGTAGACTACCAACTGTAATTTTCTCCGTTTCATTTTCAGAATTATCACAGACAGAACTCCCATTGGAAGTATCCTGATATTTGGAACTATCACTAACTTTTCCAGGTAGATTACTTTTAAGTAAAATTTCATCTACAATAGGTTCCCTGTTCACAGTCTTAGTAAATGAAAATCGAGAAATGAGTGACTGATTATTTTTAATACGTTTATCTTTATCAGATGATTCTTCTTTGCTTTCAGTTTCTTTTTCCTGTAAATCACTGCCATTATTAGTTACTAGCTGACTTTTGATTTCCACAGCAGTTGGTTTGACAGTTTGACACTGTGTGCCAGCCATTTCCAAGTTTTGACTAGGTTTAATTGAAAAAAACGTTTTTGGGAGCGCTACCTTTCGATTCTTGTCAGGAGAAGGCAGCTCCCCCAAAGTTCTTTTAGCTATTGCTTTATAAGGTCTGTATTTTGCTGGGCTTGAACTGTGGTCTGTTTTGAACTGCATTCGGCGTACACTTCCAGGCAGATGACAAGCAGCATGGGATATGCCACTTTTATTCCTCTTTTCTGCTGCATTGACTGGTTCTGAAGTGTAGAGGTGCTTGCACACTGGTGTACCTTTTAAACCTCCACTGCTTTTCTCAGCCAAGTGCTTTTCAATTTTAGAAATACTGGCATCATGACAAGTATATTTGGAGGATGAAAGTTGTTCTGAATGTTGCTGGGAAGACTTAACATCTTGGATACGTGAAGACAATTGTACATGAGCTGACTTTTCACCAGAAGTCGTACAATACTCAGAAGATGCGTGTTTTGTTTGTTTTTCAATTTTAGTGATTAAGTGGTCAGTTTTGGATGTCTTGACTGAATTTAGGTTTTGTGAAATGTTTTTTGATTTATTATTAATCATATCAGATGCTAAAAGGCTGACACGTTGTTCATTTGGCTGAAAAGAAAAAACAAAACTTCTAGTACTGACCAATTGAATGTTTACATAAACAATAATTCTTTATATATAGAGAAAGAATTTTGAAGCTGGTTGAAATGAGTGGCACAATGTACAGCTCAAACTGGTCCATATTTCCATATTTAATATATTTTCAAACAGCATCTGCATTATACAACATTTCATCACACTTCTGGTTAATCACATTCATCCTTTATAAATTTCAACACAGAAAACAATCAACAGTTACTGCTGGGATGAAAGAAAAATTTTTATTCATTTGTATTTGGAAATTACCAAATTTGTTAAAACAAACTAACTTGGTTTATACTCAACTAAGAAATCCTGGATTAATCTTCTTTTTTAAAAAAATTAACAAAGGAACTTCTAATCTATAGAACATATACACAGAAAGTCACATTTTATATCACTTCTAAGTTTAATAATTGGATTTCTCAGGGACTGGAAATTTAATACTTTTTCTTAGTAGAGTCTAACAAAAATACTGTCTTTATATCAACCACATGCAATTCTACACTTGTTTTATGTTATAAAAGTTGTAAATGTTACAAGAAGTAATCCTTTTATGTCCCATAATAACAAGAAACTAATTTATATAACTTTTAAATAGAGATTTCAGAAACTGGTTTAAGAAATTAAACTACAAAAATGTGGATTAAAATTCTGTATTTGTTTTTCTAGAGTACATAAAATTCGAAGGTGACTTGAACCAGCTGTCAATGATAGATAGGATTTGAACAACCTTCCTCTGGGTGATCTTTCCAAGCAGTAAAAAAAAATGTTTGAAAATACATAGTGGAATATTGGAGTTCAAGATTTGGAGGCCCAGAGTTTCTAGTTAAAAAAATCTTTTGGATCTTTTCCGGTTGATGCCCACCAACAGTAATAAGCATCAATGCGGAACTCATCACCAAACTCATCACTTTGTGAATTTATATAGAGAAATAGAAACAAAGATGAAGATCTATTCAAAATAAATAAATATCATATGATATTTTATTATTAATTCTTTTATTTTATTGCATTACTGGTGTTATTTTCAAAACAATATGTTGGTCATCACCAAACAAAAAAGACCCAATCCTTTTTACAGAATGTAAGCTCTTTTCAATCACAAAAAAAAAAAAGACTTTCAGTGTAAAGTTTTAGAATCTGGATAGGTGTGTAACAGTGTGCAAAGCATACCTCTGTTTTTATGTTTAATTATAAATAAACTTTATTTTTCTAAGTTTATATCAAAAGTGCTTCAGTTGCAATTTTAAGTTCACTGGTTACAAAATTATGTTTAAAAAATGGACAACCCTAAATATTTAGTTGTATGAGCCACATTATTAACCACCATAGCATAAACAGAGAAATAACATCAACAAAAACTCATTATTTAATTTTTGTACTGCATGTTGGAGTATAAAATACATTTTACTACTAGCAATAAACAAATTTATTTCACCAAATTTTTTCTTTAATGATAAAATTCAAAATTTTGCTTTATAGCTTCTTCAGGAGCATTACGCTAAAACACAAACTATAACTGACATGTACAAAGCTACAATTGATTGAATAATGAATTTAACTGATTATGTAGTGTTTAATTATACAAAACTGCCAAATAAAGTTACAAAACAATCAGATCTAACTTTCAGAAGTCAACTTTCAAAATCTCAGTATATCACGCTACAGTGTAATAAAGCCAACTGTCTAAAAACATTGTGTTTATAATCTAAAAATGGAAGTCTTGTTCCTGATATTGTATTCCAACTTGCATGAAAAATCTGCCATCATATGTACATTGGACAAACTGGAATAACTGTATACACAAAAAGAGGAGAGCAGATTGACTCTTTACAAAATACAACATGAAAAAAATAAAGTTGCAAATTATTTTTTAAACTAATCATGGCCAAGTAACTCATGGCATGAATCCACCATTCTGTAAACATCCTTATCAAAGCCACCAAATACACTAATAGGAAATTGAAAAAAGCTCTTCTCATTGAACAAAATCCACCAAACATGAAAAAGAACAGTGGATGGTACTTATAACTATTATTACAATTTTTTTATCTTAACTTTTATTTCAGTAATTATGATAGGAATTCTGTTTACTATAGATAACAAGTAACATTTTCAACAATGTAATTATTTCAATAATTGGGTTTACTACTTGTAACATCAAATGCACACAATATAAACACACACTAAAGAGTTTATTTGATTTCATTATTTAAACCAATTGAAGCTTTGTAGTTGTCAGATACAGTTTGTGTTTTAGTGAAACATTCTTGAAGAAGCAGTAAAGTGAAACATTGAGTGTCCATGTAAACAGATTTGGTTTAGTAAGGTCATTTATTACTGGTATCAAAACACGTAAGAAACATATTATGGAATGACAGCTAGAGTTAAGCTAAACTGCTTATTGGTGATATGTCCTCTGAAGATTTATGGTGTTTTTCAGTACCAAACTATGTTTCTTTTTTAAAATCATATTCTTCTAAGACAGAAATTCCTTTTACTACTTAACTTAAACTGATAATAACGCAATAAAATCATGGTGAGAAAGTAATATTTATGACATGATTAAATTTCTAATTAGAAATTCCAAATAATTAAAAAGGAATAGAATTTATGAATAAGTAAAGCAAAAGATGGCCTTTCAACTATACAGGTCACCTAGCCACTCACTAAAAACAATCACTGTATATTTGTTTAGGGCAAAGCTATACGATAGGCTATCTTCACACAACAAAATCAAACTTCATTAAATGTACCACTTCATATTCATATACCTTTCTAACAAAAGTTTAAATAAATTTGAAGCAACCACTTACATATTAACAAACAAACCATTCCAAACATTCATAATTCCTGCTGGTAAAATGAATGTTACTGAGGGCCACAAAAATTCTTTAAAAATATTTTTGATGTGTACATTAACTATAAATTGAACATGACTAAAGAGATAACTTTTAATTAATGTACAAGAAGGTATCTCATCTGATCAGTTTTATATATTACACACACATGTATATGTGAGAAGTTTTTTCAATTCTAAGATAGCGATTTTGTGAAAAGCTTGAGAAACATCTTAATAATAAACTCCAAACCATCCATGACATGATTTATGATAAAACTAATTAAGATTGCCAAGTACAAATACAGGGGGTTATTTGTTTCAAAGAATTTCTTGCATGGGATTGATTACAGATGTGACACTCATTTAAATAAAACAAGTGGTTGAGGAACAATACAGGAATTTACAAACAAATTGTTTTGGTTACTACTGTTAACCGTATTTCAGTCTTGAATGTTTGCACTTAATAAGTGATACTCAACATGATTTTAGAATGGTTTTCCAACATAACCAACATTCTAGCATTTTGAAAGGATTTCTAGTTCTACTCATTGTGCGTGCGTGTATGTGAGCACTCCTAAAGACATGTTCCAATTCTTAGAAATATTCTGTCACACAGGAATCTATTTTGGATGTGATAGAAATTGAATTTGTAGAAACTGAGAAAGGGATTCTAACTTATGCCTAACTTAGTTAATTGTAAAAAAAAAAAAATCAATTATATTTATAACCACAATTTGCAAATAAACACTGGTCATCAATATAACACATGTTCAAACTTTAATGGAAATTAGGTTGTAAGCACAAATTATTAACAATAGCTTAATATTAATAACACAACAAGTTACATTTAAACTAAAGATAGAGAGAAAGAGACAGATAAAATAATACTAATTTATCATAGTAATAGTAATATTTTAAGTAATAACGGAGCATAAACCTGTCACCAAAAAATTAACGTTTTAACATAATGATTATTATAAATAGCAATTAATATGAAATATACATACATATATATGATACACCCACAGAAAAAAGCCATTATTTCTTCACCAGTTAACTCTCTAACTGACACCACATGAAAGATGTAAATTCTCTCAACACTAATTTAGTCTATAACATTTAACAGATTGTTCCTCTAACTCAGTGCTATAACCATTTTCTACACGGTTACCAATAATCATACTCGTAACACTAAGTAACTATAGTCATGATAACTTCTGGCACTGGCAGTACGTTTATGACTAGGCGGACTGATATCTTGATTTCAAAAATATAGAATTTTTTAATTAAAATCTACCAATCTAATTACATATTTCAAATAATATTTTCATTGTTATCATTTTAATATTAGATAATGAAACTAAACATAGTAATTTATTTTGAAACGTTTGAACTATTTTTATAAGCGTAATGTCTGAGTTTGTAATAGTAGCGTCCTCTATAACATTATTTGAAAAATAAAATATTAACCATCACAATTTTTTCGAAAATATATTTAAAAAAGTACAATTTTGCTGAGGGTTCTGACAGATAATAGCAGTTTTTAATTTTTATATGCTAAACCATACAATATTTTCTAGCCATTTCAAATTAGTAGTGCATTAAATTAACTGATATGATCAAGCAACTAAAGAATCTCCTGCCCTAGGCTTAAAAAGCGATATTTTATTCTAAGATTTGTTGGTGTTAAAGAATAATATTTTCTTAAAACAGAACTTTCAAGACCGTATACTTTCTTGAGTTTATTAATCTTATTCTGCTACTCATTGCTTTTAAGAAAATAATACTCTCTCTGGGTTTTAAGCTCTTATGATTACCAATTACTATTGTTAATCAAAACAAAGTTTGAACGAATGTTAAGAATATTAAATAGTAAATCAGTTTGATATACTTAAAATAAAACAAGAAAAAAGATTCGTCAAAACTGGATATTATAAAGCTTTTGAACAGTGCGATTATAAACTTTGTTCAATAATTCCTAGTTGAAACAAAGATGTTGTGTTTGCAGAAAAAATGATATTTAAGCAGCCAATTCTACACTTTATCAAAGTAAAAGTTTCATTTCAGCGATGTTTACAGAAAATGGTTTTTAAAATTAATTAATTTTTTCGAACTATATTAAATATATGTAAACATCTATTATTATTATTCTATTGCATACTTGCAGTAACTCGAACTTTCGTTTGTAAACTCTGTATTTGAAAGCATATAGATAAAGCAATTAAGTGGTACAGCTAGGAAGTCTCACGTGGAAACAGTCAGAGGTTAAAGATTCTACTTTATTATCTCATACCAGCAAAGATAAAGACGCTTTAATTGATATAACGACCCCCCAGTAACATTGAGATATAGGTGGAAGCTATGGAATGTCATATGTCTATCACATTTATTTCCTTACAATAATTCCAGCCATTGAATGATTATTTTGATATTCGTGAGGTTGATTCACGTTAGTGATTTATTTCAACACAAAGAAACTCTGAGCACTCAACGCAGCGCAAGAAACTTGGTTTATTTCAATAGTACATAACACAAAACAGGTAGGGATAAGCTCTTCTACAATACAAAACTCTTTATAAAAATCAGTTATCAGGCAAGATTAAAAGTAGGTCATGCTAATTTAACACTAATATGTTCATTGGCGTTTACATATATTTTATGAATTATTTAATTTAAGAAAAGCAAGAAAAAATATTAACGTAATTAAAAAGTTCCTATTCAGTGGCCCCCCCCCCCCATGGCCAGGTGGTTGGGGCGCTTGACTCGCAATCTGAATTAGTAGGTTCGAATTCCCGTCCCACCAAACATGCTCGCCCTTTCAGCCGTGGGGCGTTATAAAGTGACGTCAATCCCACTATTCGTTGGTAAAAAAGTAGCCCAAGAGTTGGCGGTGGGTGAAGATGACTAGCTGCTTTCCCTTCAGTCTTTCACTGCTAAATTAGAGACTGCTATCGCAGATAGCCATCGTGTAGCTTTGCGCGAAATTCAAATCTATTGAGTAATATAATTTTAGAATCAACGTGTACGTTTATAAGCTAAATTCTAGCTGCAATACCCTAACTATATATTTATTTCATTTCCTTTATTTTTTTCGAAGCAAACTATGCAGACTAATAGTCACTGCAAGCACACGTTCTCTACTGAAATGTATCATAGTTACTATTAGTTGTTAAAATCAGTTGGCTTTTCTTCAGAATTTGAGAAGCTAGAGGTAATGTACCAATATCTCCAATTAACATAGCTACATATAAACACATCGATGCCTAAAATTGATCAAACATAAAATATTTATCCCAGTAATGATTGGCGTGCGCATATACAAAATATTTGTTTGTTCAATTTCGCGCAAAGCCATACAAAGAAAGCCTTAAGCTTATATATGAAATATGTAAAAAGCCATTAATATCAAGTTAGGCATCTAGCAAGCATGGTCATCTGCAAGTTTATTGGCTTGAACGTGATCTAATAATGTTAGTGTTTCCAGACTGTGAATCCGAGGATTCATGGTTAGCGATCCGTTGTCGCAAAAACTCGTTCCCCATTTTTAGGCCGTGTGTGCGCTGTAAGAGGGACAGTCAAATCAGACGGGTGCTGTTGACCAGCTGTCTTCCCTCTAGTCTATCAGTTTAGTATTAGGGACAGCTATACGCAGATAAGATACATTATACGGCACATTATCAAAGTAACCTTAACCTGGATAAAGGTAAACGGGGACAAATAAACAGTGCAGTTTAAATCTAAATATCACATCTAATGTGTTTACTCTGCATCATTCATTCACATAGCTTATACGCTTATACAGTACCACATTCATTACATATGGCTTATATACTGTTGCCCTAATAAGTACATCTATTTACTTGAATTATACATCATTACACTAATATGAATGTCACACCCATTTGGAAAACATGTACATTATTACTCCAGTGTCATTGCTACACCAATTACTACATAAATATAACATTATACAAGTATCATAAAAAGACAAATATAGTTAAAACCGCATAGGCGATGAAAATATCAAAATTAATTATTAGGTTGAACAATCGACAATATTTTTAATATTTTTATTTACAGAAGAATGACGTTTCGAGCTAGCGCTCTTCGTCAAATCGTACCTGACAAAGAACGCTAGCTCGAAACGTCATTCTTCTGTAAATAAAAATATAAAAAACTTGGCGATTGTTCAACCTATTATTTAATTATACAAGTATCATTACTATAGTGATTTACATAATTCATATGTTTATTTGTTAGCATAAAATTACACAATGAGCTATCTGTGCTATGCCAACCACAGAATCCAAACCCGAATTTTAGCGTTGTAAGCTGTGAGACTTACCGCTGAGCCACCAGGGGGCTAATTCATACATTAAGCCACAACTGTCAATACTTTATTCAATTACATACTTCAAATACAATTACATTAATATTATACTACATCCATTTACAAAATTTATAAGTCATTATAGTAGGTCTGACATAGTCTGGTGGTCAGGGCGCTCGACTCGCAATCTGAGGGTCGCGAATTAGAATTCCTGTCATTGAACATGCTCGCCCTTTCAGCCGTGTGGGCGTTATAATGTAGCGGTCAATCCCACTATTCGTTGGTAAAAGAGTAGCCCAAGAGTTGGCGGTGGGTGGTGCTGACTAGCTGCCGTCCCTCTAGTCTATCACTGCTAAATTAGGGACGGCTAACTCAGTAGCCTATATGTAACTTTTCACGCAATTCAAAACAAATCATTACAGAATTGTAATGTTATATCAAGTTGAGACTCACTGGCTAACATATCACTAAAAGTATTATAAGTATTACAATATTTAGTGCTAGTACAGTATGTCTGATGATAGAAAAACAATTGGGTTGTCTTATTAAAAATATCAGTATGCACGCCAACCAGTGACTCAGTGGTAAGTTTGAAGGCTTACAACGATAAATACAGAATTTCGATGCCTGTGGTGAGCATAGCACAGACAGCAGCCCTTGGTGGAGCTTTGTGCTTAACAACAAAGAAACAGATAAATTAACATGTAAATATTCAATTTATCAATATGAATACTCACTATTGATTTTTCCAATACAAATGATAATTGAGATCGACAATTCAAAACACATTCACGTTGAGCCTGTTTCATTTTATAGTTGTACGATAATTAAATTAACACATTCTTCTTACTAGCATCAACATACAGAAAAACTTGCCAAGCACTTTTAGTTTGAGTCAGACTGTGCTTAACTTTATTTACAACTAAACTGTTTTGCGCATGCTCTCGCGTTTTTGCTTATTGCTATCACAGCTAATAGAACACCGATAATCTAATCTAAATTCTTAGGATAAGCAGGTCACACACAGGTAATGTGACAGCAAATTTCGATAAGTTAATTAATTAGGTCGTCTCCACCAGTCTTTCTCGCAAAATTTAATATTATGTTTGAACGATGGTTGTGAACAATTAAATTTGGTTGAGCTGTCGTTCATAAAGAATATAATTGATATAAATTATATGCAAAAGGAAGTCTGTTTCGAGGTTTATGTAGGTTAATATTGAAATACAATAACAGATAAATTTACTAGTTTGGAATTTTTAAATTAATACTTTGTAAATTTATCTTAATTATGTGACAAAACGAAAATCAGCAACTTCACCATTTAACTCCAGCACCCGAAGTACGGCGAGTTCTTTGTTAGAATGGAAGTGCAGTCGTTAGAATAAAATCTCTTGTCGATAACGTAAGCAAATTATTTTTACGACAGCGAAAGTCACGTGACGCTGATGAGTTTCTCGAATGATCGGGGAAGTCCGGGTGTGCTCGAGGCACCTTCTTCGTTAGTATATAAGCCTGGCAGAGAAATCCAGCGGGATGATATATGAATGAAGAGAGAGCAGTAGTTACTTTGAGTTCCGTGTAATTTATGATTCTGTTAGTTTCCAGCTAG